ACAGTATGTAAAGGTGCTTCTAGACAGCTTTTTACAATGCAATCCTTTGGCCTCATTGAATGGGTTTTACAGGGGCCCATGTGACATCTTCAGCTTGTGGCCCTCTGATGTTTTCCCACACTTTCTTCCATCATTTTTTGTAGCAGAAACCGGGAGTCTGTTTGAGCAATAAAAAGTATGTTGAACTAGAAATGTGACTGAACAGTATGTGTGGCCAGCTTCAGCTTGAGCTGTTAATTGTTTTACAGCACATTATATTCAATTAAAGAAAGCAGCCTTTTTGTGTTTTATTATTTAAAGAGCAGCTTTGCTCCATGCAAAGAAGCAAATATACTGTAATCCTGTTACTTTTATGTTGCTTAGATTAATCTATATTTTGAAACTAACCATTACAGTTATTTATAATGACATCAGCCTACATTGAAGAGCAGCCAATAACCATTAAATGGGCTCATGGCTTTCCCCAACCCATTCCTTTTCTTATTTAACAGACTATATAGATATACAGAATGACTTTTTCTCTGAGATGTGTTGTTGTTGTTATGTGCAATCTAGTTGCCTCCAACTCACAGTGACCCTCTAAATGAACAGTCTCCAAAATGTCTTGTGACCTCAATGGCCCCGCTCAGCTCTTACAAACTGAGATGTGTAAGCTTGCTTTAATAATCAGTTATTGTATTTAGCCTAGCTTTCAGAGACAGGGCACAGGGGATACTTTTACTGTACATGCATCACTGATTGGACAACAACTGATGCAGAAAATGCTCATAAGAATCATCACTTTAAATTTAAATGTAAGTCAAATATAAAGACTCCAGTTTCATATGCTCAGTTCCTCTTTCATGCTATTGCTGTACTGTTACATATACCTGTATTCTCTGGACACAGGCTTTGATGAAGTGTTTTGATGAAACTTGACCCTGAACTCAAATTCCATGGACATCAGCATCTGCAATTTTGTTATTGCAGCACTAGTTTTTGAATGTTCACCTTAGTAATGCCGCTTGCAAGCTATTTGAACTGAGCACTGAGACTGTTTTGATATTATTAAAGTAAATTGAATTAAACCTATGTAAGCATATGGGTTTTAGTCTAAGGAGGTGATGAGTACTTGAAAAATTTTTCATTCTTGTTGATTTTCTGAATTTTACAATAGCAAACCATCACAGAGTTTTCTCCCACATCATCAAGATTTGCTGGCCTTCTTCCTTTTCTTCTTCTTTTCTTTTTCTCATTTTTCACCATTTTGCATAGAAAGCTCTCTATTTCTATATAGCTTAATTTCTTTTCCTATGAATCCTGTGCAGGAAAGGTGCCACTGTTTGTAGGCAATGTAACAATCCTGTATAGGATTGATGTTTGTTCTGCCCTTCCCAGATGAATCCTGTGTGGGGAAATATACTGTTATGCAGGAATTACAATG